AGAGGAGCTGAGAGGTGGGAATGTGAAGAGGAGCTGAGAGGAGAGAATGTGCAGAGGAGCTGAGAGGTGGGAATGTGAAGAGGAGCTGAGAGGAGTGAAGAAGAAGAGGATAGGAGAGAATGTGCAGAGGAGCTGAGAGAAGAGAACAGAAAGAGGAGCTGAGAGGAGGGAATGTGCAGAGGAGCTGAGAGGAGAGAATGTGCAGAGGAGCTGAGTGGTGGGAATGTGAAGAGGACCTCAGAGGAGTGAAGAAGAAGAGGAGAGAATGTGCAGAGGAGCTGAGAGAAGAGAACAGAAAGAGGAGCTGAGAGGAGGGAATGTGAAGAGGACCTCAGAGGAGAGAAGGAGCGGAGAAGAGGGAATGTGAAGAGGACCTCGGTGGAGAGAAGAAGGAGAGGAGAAAAGGGAATGGTAGGAGGAACTGTTAGGAGAAAACAGAAAATGTAGCTGAGAGGAGGAAATGTAAAGAAGACCTCAGAGGAGAGAATGTGCAGAGGAGCTGAGAGGAGAGAAAATGAAGAAGAGATGAGAGAATGTAAAGAGGACCACAGCGGAGAGAAGAAGAGGAGATGAGAGGGCAGAATGGTAGGAGAAGCTGAAAGGGGAGAAAGTGAAAAGGAGTTGAGAGGAGAGAATGAGAAGAGGAGCTGAGAGGAGATGATGGGAAGAGCAGGAGATAAGAGATAAAGAGATAACAGAGAGAGAAGCTGAGAAATGAGAATAAGAAGAGTTGTAAGAAGAGAACGGGAAAGATTTGAGAGGAGAGAACAGGCAAGGGAGCTGAGAAGAGAGAATGGGAAAAGAAACTACAGTAAGTGGAGATAAAAGAAAGAGGCACTGAGAGAAGAGAATGGCAAAAGGACTTGACAGAAGAGAATGAGGAAAGCTGAGAGGAGAGTATAAGAAGAGCTGTGAGAAGAGAAAAAGAAGAGGAGATGAGAGGAGAGGAAGAGAACAGAAAGATGAGAGGAGAGATGAGAGAAGAGGAGACGAGAGGAGAGAAGAGATGAGAGAAGAGGAGATGAGAGGAGAGAAGAGGACATGAGAGAATAGGAGATAAGAGGAGAGAAGAGATGAGAGAAGAGGAGATGAGAGGAGAGAAGAGGAGATGAGAGAAGAGGAGATGAGAGGAGAGAAGAGATGAGAGAAGAGGTGACGAGATGAGAGAAGAGAAGACGAGAGGGAGAAGAGATGAGAGGAGAGAAGAGGAGATGAGAGAAGAGGAGATGAGAGAAGAGGAGATGAGAGAAGAGGAGAGAAGAGGAGATGAGAGAAGAGGAGATGAGAGGAGAGAAGATGAGAGGAGAGAAGATGAGAAAAGAGGAGATGAGAGGACTGAAGAGGAGATGAGAGGAGAGAAGAGATGAGAGAAGAGGAGACGAGCGGGAGAAGAGATGAGAGGAGAGAAGAGGAGAGATGAGAGGAGAGAAGAGGAGATGAGAGAAGACGAGAGGGAGAAGAGATGAGAGGAGAGAGGAGGAGATGAGAGAAGAGGTGACGAGAGGAGAGAAGGGGAGATGAGAGAAGACGAGAGGGAGAAGAGATGAGAGGAGAGAAGAGGAGATGAGAGAAGACGAGAGGGAGAAGAGATGAGAGGAGAGAAGAGGAGATGAGAGAAGAGGTGATGAGAGGAGAGAAGAGGAGATGAGAGAAGAGGAGATGAGAGGAGAGAAGAGGAGATGAGAGAAGAGGAGATGAGAGGAGAGAAGATGAGAGGAGAGAAGATGAGAGAAGAGGAGATGAGAGGACTGAAGAAGAGATGAGAGGAGAGAAGAGATGAGAGAAGAGGAGATGAGAGAAGACGAGAGGGAGAAGAGATGAGAGGAGAGAAGAGGAGATGAGAGAAGAGGAGATGAGAGGAGAGAAGAGGAGATGAGAGAAGACGAGAGGGAGAAGAGATGAGAGGAGAGAAGAGGAGATGAGAGAAGAGGTGATGAGAGGAGAGAAGAGGAGATGAGAGAAGACGAGAGGGAGAAGAGATGAGAGGAGAGAAGAGGAGATGAGAGAAGAGGAGATGAGAGGAGAGGAGATGAGAGGAGAGAAGAGGAGATGAGAGAAGAGGAGATGAGAGAAGAGGAGATGAGAGAAGAGGAGATGAGAGAAGAGGAGATGAGAGGAGAGAAGAGGAGATGAGAGAAGAGGAGATGAGAGGAGAGAAGAGGAGATGAGAGGACTGAAGAAGAGATGAGAGGAGAGAAGAGATGAGAGAAGAGGAGACGAGAGGGAGAAGAGATGAGAGGAGACAAGAGGAGAGATGAGAGGAGAGAAGAGGAGATGAGAGAAGACGAGAGGGAGAAGAGATGAGAGGAGAGAAGAGGAGATGAGAGAAGAGGTGACGAGAGGAGAGAAGAGGAGATGAGAGAAGGCGAGAGGGAGAAGAGATGAGAAGAGCCCACAACCTCTCTTTCTGTAATACTGTGTTTCCGGAAGAGTCGGTCCAGCAGTTCCTCTCCGCAGCATCTGGTCTAATTAAGAAAAATAAAGACTCGCCGAGCGCTCATATTATTCAGCTTATTGATGCTCACAAATTGTTTTTAAATAAAGCATCATGTGACACAATTGTATCAATGATATATTTGTCTACTGTTACGTGTGTGGCCGGCAGTTGCGATTTAATGACGGCAGTAGCGAGCTGAACGATACTCTCACCGATGCAGTGACGTTTATTCATCGTCCAAGTAGCTTGGCTGGGGGTCAGGTGGATGACCAAGGTGCTGCGTCCCTGCTATACTGACAGGTGACACCATTAATCACTAGGGCAGCTTTCCTGCTTTCCTCTGTCACCTGCCTTCCTATTGGAGGATACAATCGTCATACTACCTCCTATCTTCCAATTCTTCTATAATATACTTAGGCATCTCCCATCCGGGCCTCCAGTGCCTGAAAGATGTTAGGCAGCACTAAATGTAATATGGCCTGACTAGGTACCAGTGCAAATCCTCCCACCGCAGTCTGATTTCTGCTGCACAGGAAATTATAAGGGTCACATAAGGTGAGATTGAAGGTCGCTATTGTAGAAGGATTTTAATATCCAATTTTTGGGGATGTCTTTGGGGGGGATTTTTTTTTTGGGG